AACAAGCGACTCGGTTAATTTTTAATGCAGACAGATATGCACACGCCAAGCCTTTACTAAAAGAAATTAAAGCTCTGAATGTATTCGAACTAAACATTTATCAAAATTTATTGTTTATGTTTAAACTTCACAATAACATGCTTCCATCATATTTTCAGCCACATTTCTCTTTAGTTAATCACAGATACTTAACAAGATATTCTATTGACAATTTTTATATACCATCAACAACTCTTAAAAAATCGGACTACTCTATTACTTGTCGGGGTCCACGTCTGTGGAACTCAATCCTGAATAATGACATAAAATCTATAGCCTCAATTAAAGCATTTAAAAAAACTGTGAAACAACATTTGTTAAATCTAACCAACAAAAATATTTTTTTGTATTTTTAAGTCGTATTTTTATGTATTTACTAATACGAATATGTATGTTTAACTCAAAAATATGTAATTTTATAAACTAATTTTATAATTATAGATTTTACGAACTTAATCATGTAAATAAAGTTAACTATTTTACTATCAAAGGGGCAAGATGATAAGATGTATTGTCTTCTGCTTGCTCCTGTCAGAATTTTAAAAATATATTTTATTTTATTTTTATTTTACAAGTACATTGTAAAATTTTCTTTTCTTTTTTGTTCATTGACGAAATATAAATTGATTGATTGAAGTAATAAACCGCCCCCGTAACGTTTGGAATAATGTTATATGAAAATAAAAACGAAATGTGTTTTTTTAGCAGTTTATTTCAATAACCACATCATTAAGCTTTAAATTGATGCATTTAAGAAAAAAATTAAACAGGTTTTGAAAATGTTATTACACAAAAATTACACTTAGTGAAAAAAACGGTTTTGCCCCCATTGTGAGGCACAACCGCACCCTCAAAAAAATCGATGGGGCTACACCTTTCATGGTACATTTTTTTTACAATTTTCACACTCAGATTATTTGATGATTTTGTTGCATGTTTGCATATTGTGCAGGCATTTTTTGTGTTTACATTTTGATGTTACATCTGCCCCAGAAGAGAGTTCTACCCCAGAAGAGAGTTTTTAGAAAGAGTTCAGTTTCATAGATTAATTATTAGATTATGGTATTATCAAAAATGACTTTCACTTCATGAAATAATGCTGATAACACATATTTTTAACACTAAAATTAAATATTGCTTAATTCTCAAAAAGAAGGTCAGGAAAAATATGATGTAAATATAATATTTTTATCAAAATAAAAATTATTATTCACAACTTCTCAGAAACTTAACAGTCACTCTTTTTGACATATGCAAAATGAAGGAAACTGTTTTATTAACGCGTGGTATGTTTTTTACCATATTAGATAACATTTTTTGAAGAGAAATGTTAAAAAACGGTTGTGCCTCCATATGCGGTTATGCCCCCACTTCCCCTACTTATTGCCTTGATGGTATACATAGTTAGTGTCATTATAAACAGGACAAAGCTAATTTAACGTCTATTTACAAGCCAGGTGCTGGTCTTTCAATCTCAGTCATCTTAAGCTTGTATAAATTGATCTATATGAAGAAGAACTCTTTAAAAAGTTCTTTCATGGTAAGACGCAAAACCAAAATGAGTTTTAATGGAATGATATGGCAGCGCAAACCTAAAACAAAATATGTATCGTTAACGCAGTTGTAGTTATGTGTATATAATGCTCTTTCAATTTTTAATACCGGAAGAAAAGCAAATATATTTATTTGAAAAATTGAATATGATTCCTGGTATATATACTCTTCAAGACTGTTCAACCATGAACAAAAAGCATTTAATTTTCGCTGAGTATCAAAATCGACCAACATCTAAAAAGCGACGAGTTATTCGTGGATGCACGAAAAAAAAAAAAAAGATGACACAGAGAATGACCAAAAAGGTTGTCTATATGATCCTGGTTCTTGTTCTTATAATTAACAGATTTTAAATTGAGTATTTGACATTTTTATTTGGTAAAATTGGAAATGTAATATTTAAATGCTTTTTTCTCAAATTGTCAATTTTTAACCTCCCGGCCATCCTACCTCATTAACCGTATGTATAATTTGCCTGAAATTTTCACGAAATGTTTATTGCAATTTGAACTAAAAGTTTTACAATACTATTAGGAGTTTTTGATTTATAGAAGATTTGGTTCACAAAAATGCCTTTTTTTAAATACGCCATTTTGAAAAACACAGCATTATACTTTAAATACTTTGTTTTTTAGAACCATTTTAGTTCAGTTTGTAGATTACTATGTTGTGAATCATATGCCAAAAAATAATATCATATATGGTTTCGCTTACTGAGATAGAATGGCCGGGTTGGCCTAAACATTTTTGAATATCTGCCATTTTACTTGGTAACCATGGGAACCAATAAATTTATTTTGCATTATTTAAAATCCTGTTATATAGTTATTTCTCAGGATATACTTGGTTTTTTGTTAAAAAGATTATTTTAGGAAAAATATTTTTGAGGGGTCTTATACCTTAAAAAATCAATATTTATGTTATGTAACACAGATTTAGATTATTTAGGGTTGTTATAGTGTTAGAATATAGAAATTTTTATTAAAAATCAAACATTTGTCAGTGAATAAACTACTAATAAGTAAACACCACTATTAATTTTTTTAAAAACTATTAATTTTTTTCCCCATTATGTGGATTACAAAGTACAAGAATTATGACTTTCTTTTCTAACAACAAATATTTAATAATTATACATTTTGGAACTTTTTTTTTCTTCATTTTTTTGCCAAATAATTTTATTAATAATACAAATTTTAACATATTACAAATTTAGCGGCAGGACTTCTAGAAGATCATGAGGACCTTATCATGAAGCCCTTTACAATGCTTTTTAGTATCGAGTATAATATAATATAAATACGTAATATTATAATGAAGTTATAAAAATTCGTAAAATAACAAAAATAATATAAAGTTTAACAAAACACAGTAATAAAAAGTAATAAAATACAAACCATTAAATACATAAGTTTGCAAAGAACTCATGGAAATATTCGTAAATAGTAAAACATAATACAATAAAGTATAATATATCAGCAATAAATTGATAAAAACTCAAAAATAGATAAAGATGTTTTCAATTGAAAAGATAATTTCTTTAATTTTGGTTTTAAATAAGGAGTAGTTTAGTTTGATTGAAAAGTCAAAATTAGGTAAAACTATTTTGTTCCAAAGAAGAGGTCCACGATAGGACATACAAAATTCGTCGTATTTAGTTTTGCAAAAAAGAGCATTAAGATTGTTGTCAATTCGTAAATTATATTTGTTTTTCGGTTTTAAAGAATAAAGATATTGAAATACCTGTGGAGATAAATTTTCTTTACACTTGAACATAAAGCATAAAATATTAAAAATATTAAGTTGATAAACATTCAAAGCTTTCATATCTTTAAGAAGTGGCGCAGAGTGAGTAAGACGATTTTTAAAATTAATTGCGCGAGCTGCGTGTGCGGAACTCTAGTAAATGTATAATTTATTTAGTGGTAGGCCACTAAAATAGAATAATGTCGAATTAACTAGAAGTTTTTTGTTTTTAACATTTTGAAAAATGTATGCGTTTGAGAGAGAGTTGACTAACGATTAAAAGGGGGTTGATAAATAATGCGTACGCAGAGAGAAATGGGTCTGAACATTTACTAAGGTGTATCTGCTATATCTTTAGCGATCTGAATATCACATTTTAAAGTCATAAATATAACGCAGACAGATAAATAAGCTGATAAGTTGCAACAGTACATTTTATGCTAAACATTATGCTTACATTTTATGCTAAACATTATGCTTACATTTTATGCTAAACATTATGCTTACATTTTATGCTAAACATTATGCTTACATTTTATGCTAAACATTATGCTTACATTTTATGCTAAACATTATGCTTACATTTTATGCTAAACATTATGCTTACATTTTATGCTAAACATTATGCTTACATTTTATGCTAAACATTATGCTTACATTTTATGCTAAACATTATGCTTACATTTTATGCTAAAGCGAACGGATAAAAAGTTCAGAGAAAAAACGTTGACAAAGATTGCGAGCTAAAAAAAAAGAATTTTTGATAGAGTGAAAAAAAAAATAGTAGATTCATATCAAACTGGTTTTTACTGAGGAGATAAACTTATTTTTAAAACATTTTATTTTTATTTTCTATTTTTCTGTTTTTAATATTTTGTATACTTGCTATAACTCAAAAAATCTCGCAACATGACAACTCGAGATTGAACATGACAACTTGAAATTCGAGATTGAACATGACAACTTGAAATTCAAAATTGAACATGAAAACTTGAAATTCATGATTGAACATGAAAACCTGAAATTTTGAATGTGTTTAATACGATCAAATATTCAGGATGACCCTTGGATTTTACATAAAACACTTAATATTTTTTTAAAAACTCAGTTTTTGTGCAAATTTATATCAACAATTCTTGGTTAAAAGTAGTATTTTCACATAAACTTCAGTAACTCGTAGGGAAAAATGATTTATGCAAACCCTAAGGGTCCTCCGGAGTATAATATAATAATATACATATGTGCAAAAGAATTATCAATTTTGCTTTTGTTTTATCAAATATCACGTTTCCAAAAACACCAATTGTAAGGGTTAAAAATTAACATATTTTCCGCCATGGATTTTCTATATAAAAAATAAAAAGTATTTTTTATGCAAGTACTTTCTCTTAAAGTTTTTTTGTTTTAATAAACTAAAAAATCTTGCAATGACGAATTTCAGAAAGTACCCTACCACCTTAAGTAAATGACATTTTTTGTCTTTTACATTTCATATTTTTTTATTATGTCTTAAGAAACAAAATTGCTTTATTCTTTTTAAGTAACGTAATTTTATTTTTTACATCGTTTGGAGCAGTTGAAACTTCTAAGCTGAAGTGAAGTACTTATATACTTGGAAGTCTCTGATATACAACTTTTCTCTTACCCGCTTCTGCTTTGAATTCGAGCAAAATAATTTTATATTACATGTTAAAACCATACAATAATTTTTTTATACTATGTTACCTTTTATTCTTCTTCTTAACTTATAATATATTTATGTGTGAGTGTATTTATATATTATATACGCACACTCTCAAACGCATGCGTACATGTCATCAAGTTTTGCATTGTAGCAGCAGGTTAAACTCGTTAAAGATCATTATTTCGTGAAACAAAATAATTTATTACGAAAAATAAAGTATTTTGTTTCAACGCTGTTTTGACACATGATTTTAAAGCATCAAACATAGTTTGCGTTGTGGCATTAAGATTCAACTCTTTCCATTCTAATAGCATAGCAAAAACTTTTTCAGAGATGAAGTCATAGTTATAATGATCTTTATGTATTGACTCAATTTTAGATTTAAGAAGATTGAGTTTTCTACCTAAGTTTTTCCAGTAACCACATACATCATTAGATAAATCTTCTAACATTTTTTCGGTAGGTTGTATTATTTGAACTTTTATTGGACGCATCTTTTTATTAATAATTGGAATATGTTGATTTACAGCTAAAAAAAAAACATTTTGCATTTTATAAATTACTTTAAATTAGTCCATACAAATAAATAACTTAATAATATTAGGTTAAATAGATTAAATAATTATATTTAATATGTGCAATTCTGTATGTATGTATGTATGTATGTATGTATGTATGTATGCATGTATGCATGCATGTATGTATGTATGTATGTATGTATGTATGTATGTATGTATGTATGTATGTATGTATGTATGTATGTATGTTTGATGCTGCGATTGATCTGCAACTATCTTTACAATGCAGCATGGATGGTATTCTACCTATAACGTTCAATTTCGTCAAAAGGTTAGGATAGATTATTGTTTAAATGTATGGTCATTTTTAATACACTGTTTGTATAAACAGTGTATTAAAAATGCTTTAAGTGCCATGGCACTTTCACGTTTAAATTCCATGGAATTTAAACGTGAAAGTGTCATTGCGCTTTATTTGAATGGAAATCTAATAGATTGTGAATCAGATGGGACATTTAAAGTAAACTAAACATTTGTGTATCGAACCATAAAAAGTTATAATGAAACAGGCAGTATAAAAAGGCGCAATGTAGGCGGACGTAAAAAAATTGTTACTACTCCTGATTGGTTCGAAAAGTGAGAGTTCGAATAAAACGAAATCCGAAGCAAAGTGCAAGAAAATTGTCTCGTGAAATGCATGTCTGATGCATTCAGTGAATGTTGAAAATCTCCAGCTTCAGAAGCCAAAATATATAAAGCTCATGACATTACAAAAAAGCAGATAAAGCTATGACTAAATATAGCAAAAATGTTAAAACAATTTCTCAACGAAGCTCAAGAACTGCCCGACATCGTGTTTTCTTATGAAAAACTTTTCACAATTCAGCAAAATGTAATCAAACAAAATAATCGTATTTGGCTAATAAGAAAATAAAATAAAAATTTAAATTATTTGTATGGCTACTTAACATTATTCACAAGTAATGGTATGAGCTGCCATTGCACACCTCTGGTGGATGTTCTACATTGATTTTTTGGAATCTGGGGTCAAAACTAATGCAACAGTGTAGCGAGAATCAGATACATACACACACGTGTGTATCCTGACTTTTTCTGATAATTTCATGCAACTTTTTTCTTGAGTAACATTCCTGTTGTAGCTTCTATGGATACAAAACCACTCTTTTTGTCGTTGCTGTTGCATAGTAACATGGTATAATTTTTGCACTTAATTATTACAATAAGCATTTTATTCGTTATTACACAACAGTGTTTGTGATTACACACGATGTGTTCGGAATTACCCTAAGTGCGTAGGGTAATTCCAAACACCAATGGTTTTATTTTTGCCCTAAATTTTTATTTTATAATAAGATTTATAAAAATTACTTTTAAGGTTTTGTGACTGAATAGTTAGACTAATTGATAAGCAATAACTGGTGTCTTTAATTCCCTCTTAGCTGTTCACCAATACCCCACTTTCCCCTATACACACATGTATATATTTATATATACCATGGCCCGATTTGTTGTTTTGAAGGCAAAAAATTAGTAGGCCGAAAAAATATGGGTTTGAAGTTTACAAATAAACCAATTTAACAATATTCAGATGGTTTAAAATAATACGGTTTGTAAATATAAGCAATAGTTTTTTTTGTAATACCGAAAAAGTGTTGTGTTGTAGGAGAAATTGTAAGCGAAAGATTAAAGAATGCTCCAGTACCAACAACCAAGTGCCATACAAAACTGTCTTTAGTTCTTCCTGATAATAATCATTTAGAACTTCGAATTTGTTGGATTAAGTTTGTCAATTGAGCTGATTGGAGCCTCACAGAAAACTCAGAGATATATATCGATCATTTTGATGATAAATACTTAAAAAGAGATAAACGTATGCAAACGGTAACATTGAGCTATTCTGAAAACCCTATACCAACAATTATTACCAAACAAAATAATTTATCAAAGCCATCTCTAATTCAATCAAGCTCAGCTTAACGTAAGTCCCTTGCAGTTCGTATAACCATCCTTTGTTAGATGAAACAGATAATTTCAGAAAATTTGATACAGTTAAAAATATTATCGATCTAAATGAAAGCTTTTGTCCAGAAGGATTTTCATTTAAAATAATTAATAACCATGTGTAATATCTTCGAAGTTTTTTTTGATGAAGGTGATATTACTCCTAACATCGATTGATGAAGACTTACATCTAAAACTACATTTGAAAGGTATGCCGTTCCATTACCTAAATGGTTTCATTAAAAGGCAGCGTATATTAATGGACCGGTGCCAGTATGCTAGTTAATTTTGTTTCTTATGCATGAAGTTGCAGAGAAGGTATCAAAAAGTATATTATCAGAGTTATATAAATCATCTCTTTATAAACCACAAGGACGTCCAATCTACACAAATGAAGTAATTAAATTTTCTCTGATGCACAGATATACATCAAAACATATTAGAAGAGTTTCCACTTGCTTCGTTGTCTTATCTAAAATCACTTTTAAAAGGTGGCATTGATCCAATATAAGGATTGTTATTAATTTTTGGAAAATGTCAGTGTTAGTACTAACTGTGTTGTTTTAATTGATGAGATGTATTTACAAAAATTTGATTGGTGCTGATGATGATGGTAATTTCTATTCTGATATAGTTGTGTTCATGATGGTTAGCTTAAAAGAATCAATTCCTTTCTTCAGAGTTTCAAATTTCTGGTTCTTTGATTAGTTCACATATAAAAGAAACATAAGAAACTTTACATAAAACATCTTTTAATGTACGAGCTATAACAACAATCATTCAACATTTCAGCATTTAAGATTCTATGTTTAAAATTTGGTGAACAAGATAATGACATTTTTAAAATTTATATGACAGTGTTCATTTACTAAAAAATATTAGATTTGTATTTCCACTTTTTGATTTCATCGAGTTTGATGATATTATTCATGTTGAAGCTGGTGAAATATCTTGGAATTTATTACATAATGTTTATGAGATAGATGAATTGTTACCTGCTAAATTAAAAAAAGCTATCTATCTAAAAAAGTTATCTGCTCAAACTTTATATCCTGGAAACAACAATGTATTCCTTTAGCTTTAAATATTTTTTATGAAACCACCTCTGCTGCAATCATCAGCTATTTTCTAAAAGAAACTGCAGCTATTGAATTTTGAAAGCTTATTAATATTTGGTGGACTATTTCTAATTCAAAGGTAATGTTTAATACAAATAATAGGATTGGAAATGCAGTTATTCTAGGTGATAAAAACCCACAATTTTTTCGAGATTTTGCAACATGGATTAATGAATGGAAAAAAATACAATTTATAAAATGTAGTAAATATGCTTTAAAACATATTTTAAAGCATATTTACTACATCTGTTCAAACAACAAATACATTAATTACAACACTGAAGGGTACTGCAAGTCTGACGGAAGATTTATTTTCAGAAGGATAGGTTTTAACTAGCAGGTTTCAAACGGATCCATTAGAAAGACATTTCAGTAAATATCATCAAATGAGTGGTGGAAGATTTTTAGTCAATTTACATGAAGTTCAAAACTCTAAAAAGATATTATGCATGAAATCTCTAATTAAAGCCAATAAATCCAATAAAGCCAATCTCTAATTAAAGCCAATTGGACAAGCAATATGAAATCTGAAATCAATATGAAATCTGTTTGTACTTTTGGTGTGCATTGCCAAGGCCACATTGGAGCCCTTTGTTATGGCGCAGGGTTTATTAATAGTTATGAGGCAATTGCTTGGGCTATTAAACAGTGTACTGAGTACTATCTATGTTTCGAGTAAAGTTTTTTAACAAATTTAAAAATGAATAAAGTAACAACTTTTCTACAAATACTATAATGGGCACTGCTCTAAAGAGCTAGCGTCTCTTGTGCCATCTACTAAAATTCATTCTCGTGTTACTCGTCATTCAATTAAGTTTCATCTTTTTTCTGTGACTGTTCCTAAGTGCTCCAAAAACTATTCCTCTAGTTTTTTTCCTCGAACATAAGTTCTTTGGAATTCGCTTCCTTCATCTTGCCTACCTGATTCATGTAATTTGCATTCTTTTAAGTTGTCCGTCAATCGTTATCTTGCTCGCCAATCTTCATCTTTTCTTTTCCAGTACCTTCCAACACTAATTAGTGGTTGCTTGCAGCCTTGTTGGAAGCGAAGATGAAAAAAAAAGTCTCAACAGAATATCTTGAAATTCTGTCACATGGTAGACTAACAAAACCTTCTAAAGCATTAGCTAATTATGCTTGTAATGTGTTTATGATTTTAGACACTTGTTGGCACTTGAAACATACCAAGCAAATGATAGCGGTTTTATAGGCCGGGTGAATAAAAACGAGCAATTGCTTTTACTCAGTAATTGGTCAGCTTTACGTGAAAAAAAGCTAAAGAAATTTTCCCTAAGTTTTTATTTACGTAAAGCCGAACAATTACTAAATAAATTGCTTATTTTTACGTGAATAAAAATTTGAGTTAAACTGCTAATGTTTTTATTCACATAAAGCTGACCAATTACTGAGTAAAAGCAATTGCTCATTTTTATTCACCGGGCCTTATGAGTATAAAATATGAGGAAAGGGGAAGGAATTTAGTAAACACAATTGTTACCAAAATATATTTCAACAATGAGCAACAGATTAATAATGGAAACGTTAGAAAAGATGAAGTTGCTGCTATTAAAGTTCGACAAACCATGAAAGATAAATAAATAAACGAAATAATAGTATATATATTTTTAACATCATAAATAACAAAAGTTCTATCAAGTCAAGATTCTTTTATTTCTCAAAGAAAAAAAATATATACTATGTTAAAAATACATATACTGTTGTTAAAAATATATATACTATGTTGTTAAATATATATACACTATGCTGTTAAAAATATATATACTATGTTGTTAAAAATATATATACTATGTTGTTAAAAATATATATACCATGTTGTTAAAAATATCATTTGTCTTTTATGTCTTTTTTTA